GAAACAAAACTAAGAAATGTACAGGATACAGGTGGTAGTAAGAGGAATGTAAAAAGAGAAATTAACTCACCTACAGTTGTATCTGTTCATAACAAATAGAGGCGCTTTCTTCCTGATGTCCTCATACCTGTAATCACTTTTGGATAAGCAGTCTTCCCCTGCATTCTGATCATATTTAGTAGTTGAAGGTGTCATTGCCACTGAGATGTATGGTACGTAGTCATTCCAGAAGTTAACAAAGCATGCCTGTGGTTCAATATTGATATAATTGAACCTTTAATTAAATCCCTCCTCCACCAAACAGTCCATTAAAGATAAATGTGACTGGAAACTGCAGGTAGTGGAGATCTGATTATGACTTTCAACTAATAGTCTGTAAGTACCTGAGGCAATTTATAAAGAGAAAAGGTTTATTTACGTTCACAGTTCTGTAGGTTTCAATCCAAGACCAAGTGGCCCAATTCCTTTGGGCTTCTGGTGAGAACGGCATATCGTGACAGGAGTGGGAACTCATGGTGGAGCAAACCACTTACATCATGATTCAGGAAGCAGAAGAGGAAGACACTGGTGTTCCACAGTCCCTTGTAAGGGCATTTCCTCTATGACCTAAGGACGCCCAGTAAGCCCCACCTCTCCCAGATTGCACACCTACTAAAAGTGCCGCCCTGGCCATCAAGTATTTGACATATGGAAACTGGGCAACATATCTCCAAACCATAGCATAAGCCTTGAGTTCACCAAAAGAGCATCTTTTTGTTGTTGCTTACTTCAGGCTTGTTTGCTTTTTTTGAGATAGGGTCTTACTATCTAGCCTAGGCTGGCCTCAAACTTTCTATGTAGCCCAGGCTGGCCTCGTACTCCCAGTCCTCTGCCTTAGCCTCCCAAGAGCTGGGATTACAGGTGTGAACCACCATGCTTACATTTGAAGAGACCACCTTACTGTTCTTCAGTTGTTTGTCAGATGGGCAGCTGTGGAGAGGACTCAGATTGGCCCTCCTCTCTCGATGCTGAGAGTATGGAATTCAGATGTCCCTATAAAATCAGAAGGAATAAATGCCTGTCGAGCCCGAGTGGGATATTTGATGAAACTTGTGGGAAGGTAACTTCTTGAACACATCAGTCCCAGAACATGACTACATGTGTGTCTACATACATTTTAACAAAATTGCTTTTTCCCTGTAAAATCTTTGGATGCCCTCAGTACTTTAATCCAGTGTTGCACAACTTTAATATTTACACAAATTTCCCGGAGATCTCGCTGATGTGCAGGTGGAAGGGCCTGAGACTGCATGTCTCACCTGCTCCCAGGTGTCACTGACGTAGCTAGTCAGAGAGCCTGCTGTGTGACAGGGTCTTAATGGCTTCGGAGTGCTGGGGGGTTCGTGTCACAGTTCACCAACATGCTTCCTGTTGTTGAATGTTCTGGATGTTCTGACAGATCTGCTTTGTTGTTGCCATTTTAATTTCTATCAACATTCAGCTTGGGTTTTAGTCTTAACCAATATTGAAGAAAAAGCTTTTCTTGGAAGTTCATCTCATTCGATGACAGCCAGACACATAATGCACATTCATTCCATTTGCAGTGTTTCCTAGGGGCCTGCCATGGGCTTCTGTTGTAGATGCTGGGACTACAAAGACCAACAGAGTCCTGGCCCTGCGGCTCAGCCTCCCCCAGACTGCAAGAAGAAATTTCAGTTAATTGTAGTAAACGGGAGATGAGGTAATGCCCCCAGGTTGGTACTGTGTTGAAAACCGACCCTGTAGATAAGGAAGGAATGTACCTGAGCTGGGTGTAAGGACAAAGAGTTGTTCACCAGGCGTCTGATTGGAGTGGGGTTCCAGACTGAGAACACACATGCAGAAGCACTGAGGCAGCAACTGTCTGACACACTCAGGCTTCTCCCCGCTCCTTTGTGGAGGGTAACGCACAAATTTCTCATGGAGGCACAAAACCTGAGGTGAGCTGGGGGCCAGAAGCAGATGGATATCTTAGGAAGAGGGCTTTGAGGGGACAAAGCTGAGATGGGAGTCCAAGAAAGTGACTCCTCCTGGAGGAATGTGGTAGGAAGGCAAACCCAGAAGCTGGTGTCCAGGCCCTGGAGAGTGCCTGGGCTGAGCATGGCCATCAGGGGTGAGCTGCAGCTTTGGGCCTGGGTGGCAGAATGGCTAGTGCAGCTGCCAGATGATGTGGTGATAAAGGAAATGGTGGGTCATGGGTAGGAATGTTGAGGTGAAGAGTACAGGCAGTCATGAGGGACAAAGGTCTGTGTTTGGATGAACCATCTGCAACAGAGAGGGATTTGGGGAGAGAGGAAAAAGGCAAACGGTGACATCCTGTTGGTGAATGTTTGGGGCAAGAGCAGAACAGTGCAAAGGAGGAACGCAGGACTCTGGAGTCATGTTTTGCACACATGGGAATTTAGGGTTGTGGCACTGTCCAGGAAAGTGTGGTTCTAGGGTGTCCCGGGTGTGGTGTGCACACTGAGTGAAGGAAGAGAGACCACGCACAGCATAGTACCTGTGGGGAGAAGAGGCTTATGGAGGCAGCACAGAGGCTAGAGGGCCTGTAGGTTTAGACAAAGGCAGGGGACAGAGGGAACTGAGCAATCCCCACTCACGGCAAGGGCTGGAGGGACTTTAGGACAAAGCTCCCTCTCCAGGGAAACCTGAGAAGATAGGCAGAATGAACTGAAGAAAAGATCAAGCTACATCTCTAACAGACTGTAGCTGAGGCCCAGGGCCAGGAGGGGGATGACTAAAAGATGGCAAGTACCTTAAAGCGTGTCAGATGAGTTGTGTATAATAATGATATACAGTGCTTTTGTGCACAGCCCTGTTCTTCACACTCCACATTCCTCATATTAATCCTGGAAGGTAGGTAACACTGTTGTACCCATTTTACAGATGAGGACACTGAGCTACAGAGAGTTACAGTAACTTGCCCCGAGGGACAGAGGAGAGCCAGAGCTAACAGGGCTGTCCCGTACACAGAGGTGGAGGCTTAGATCCTTTCTCCTCCTTACCACTGTCAGCTTTGTTCTCTGGAGATCCACCTTGGTGTGATTTGTATGACTTTCTGGTCATAAAAAGTCAGGTATCTCAAAAACTTCTGTTTTGTGCATATACTGGCTATGGGTGGTCTGCAGACTCCTACCACGTGACTGACACATTAGGTAACAGTGTTGTGTCTGAAAGCCTTCCAGGGCCTCCGTTGTTCTAACTTCTCATTTAACAATTCAGGTTCTTCAGCAAAGGCTTCCTAATAAGGTCTTTGGCACTATTGTTTGAAACTGTGCAAACAGAATGATACATGGTGATAAAAATTCTTGCAGTCTAGAATTGGTAAAGGTCTTGCTTCACACAATTGGAGTTTAGGAAGAGATTGCTTATAGTACCAAGGAAAAAAGAAAGAGAAAAAAAAAGGAATACGAGAAGATAGTTTAGTTTAAGATAAAAAGATTTTTTCCACCAAAGGAAATAGCAAAACTCTGTAACTGAGCATGGTGGCACATATCTATAATCCAGCACTTGGCAGACTGAGGCAAGAGGATTGTGAGTTTGAGGCCAGCCTGGGCTACATAGTAGACCTTGTCTTAAGCAAAAAAGAGGGAGGAGGGAAAAAGGGAAGGGAAACTAATGGAGGAAATACAATGTAATAAATAACTTGAGTATATTTAGTATTTCAGTCATGAAAACCATAGCAAATGCATTATTTCTTAAATCAGTATATAAATGTATCATACTAGGAATTGGTGCCTATATTAGCCGGGATATAGCTTTGCTCTGAACTAACAATTGCTTAAACAAGATGGTTTATTCCTGTATCACAGAATCCAGAAGTGAAATAGCAGTTGTTCAGGGACTTGGGCTCCTTCTTTACTGTTGTTCCACCATCCCTTAATGTGACACTCTTTCTCTGTTTTTAATGTAACTCTTGTTAAGCTTTTATTGTGGAAAATTTCACACATGCACAGAAGTGGAGCAAATCATAGAATGGACCCCATGTGCCTGACTCCCTAGCATTAAGTAACAGTGTAAACTCAGCCCAGTCTCAGCCATTCTCCTCCGGCCTTCACTTGTCCCTGTCCCGGTTTTTTTTTTGTTTGTTTTTGGTTTTTTCCTAAAGCAGATCTCATAGCTACTGTTCCATCTGTAAATATTTCTATATGTATCTCCAAAAGGTAAGGGGCCTTTTAAAAAATTTAACTTTTGGAATAATTAAATTCAAATGCAGTTGTAAAAAATAACTCAGAGAGATCTTCAGTGCCCTTTATTCAGGTCCCCTGATGGTAGCATCTTCTAAAACCATAGCTCCACATCATGGCTGGAATGTCAAAATGTGTGTGGTAAAGATGCAGGGCATTTCCATCACACCAGGTCCCCCATGTTGCCCTTTTATGGCCATTCTTCCCCACCTTTTTCATAGCCCCTAATACCTTATAATCTGCTCTCCAGTTGTAATTCTGTCATTCCAAGAATGTTAGGAACTTTTAGTATCAGCTCAACATAAGTCCCTCTAGATTCACCTGCATTGTTGTGTGGATTAAGAGTTCAGTACTTTTTGTTACAGAGTAGTATTCCATGGTAAGGATATATCACATTAAAGTCTCTTTTAGGGCCAGCACAGTGTCTCCCAGCTACTTGGGAGGCAGAGATAGGAGAAAGATCACAGTTTGAGGCCAGCCTGGAAAAAAAATGTTAGCAAGAATAAGCAGGGTGTGGTGGCACATACTTGTAATCCTAGCTGCTTGGGAGGTGAGGTAGGGGGATCACGGTCCAGGACCAGCCCAGGAAAAAGCATGAAACCCTATCTGAAAAATAACGGAAGCAAAAAGGGCTGGAGGCATGGTTCAGGTGGTGGAGTGCCTACCTTGCAAACACAAGGGCTTGAGTTCAAGCCCTAGTACTGCCAAAAAAAGAAAAAAATGCTTTAAAAAAGTGTACTCCACCTAACGCTTTCCTCTTTCTTCCCCCACTGTCCTCCTCTCCTCTCTGCGCAGCAATGCCAGGCGAGTACAACCCTGTAAAGCTGAGAAGCGATTGTTCAAGGCCCCCCCTGCCATGGTACACCCGAGCCCAGAACAAGATGAGAAGACCCAGCTTGCTGTTCAAAGACATCCTCAAGTAAGTAGGGCCCAGGCCTTGACATCCCCGTTTGGGTCAGTGTGTGGAATTGGGAGAAAAACTCCTTAAGAACCCAGAAGGTGGCGGATGTTAGAAAAACATACTTGGTCTGATGGATCATTTAACAGCTCATCTGGGTGAAGGTTCAGTGAGCAGATGGAGCAGGTCCACATGTCCATCTGCATTTAGTGGGCACAGTGCTGGTAGCCATTTGTTCCCTGATCCTGAGCTTGGAATCCTGGAAGAGTAACTCACAGCACCCTGCTCTTCACACCATTGTTTAACGAAGCAGGCCTTTCTCCCTCAGCCGTTTTAAGTTATCCAAATATGGTTCATTGAAGTTCCTTAAAGACACTGGATACCATGACATACTGAACACTAAAAAGGATGACAGCTGTTTCTGTCAGACCAGCCTTATGTCCTAATGTGGGGTAAAGTTAAAGGAGGAGCCTGTCAGGTTTTTTGGTACCAGCTAAACCAAGTCGACAACTGGTTTTTTGTTTTGTTTTTAGTTGGTTGATTAGTTTGTTTTGCAGTTTTGGGGGTTAAACTCAGGGCCTTGTGCTTGATAGGGAGGCATCCTACCACTTAAGCCACTCCCCCAGCCCTTTTTGCTTTGATTATTTTTTGAGGTATTGTCTCAAAAAATACGATATGGTCTAGATATGGTCTAGCCTGGACTGGTCTGGACCTTGATCCTCCAATTTGTACCTTCCCACAGTAGCTGGGATGACAGGCATGCACCACCAAACCCAACCGTTGATTGAGATGGGGATCTCTCAAACTTTTGCTCAGGCTGTTCTTGCACTGTGATCCTCCTGATCTTCACCTCCCACATAGCTAGGATTACAGGCTTGAGCCATTGTACCTGGCTCCAAGTCGCAAATGCTACAGATGTCTAAGGATAGAAAATCTTCAGATAAAGCCAGCTGTGGTGGTACGTGCCTGCCGTAATCAGAGCATTTGAGAGGGTGAGGCAGAGGAGGCGGTTTTTGACCCTGTCTCAAAAAGCAGAAAGGAAGGAAGAAGAAAAGGAAGGAAGTGGGGAGGGAGGGAAAATCTTTACATAGATAAAAGAAATCCAACCCCGGAACCTAGTCTCTGACCTCACTTTAGAATTTTGAAGGAGGTGTAAAAGGAAATTTATGTGAACATAGACTTATAGCACATTCATTGCCTAATTTTAGTCATAACCATAATTCATGGAGATCTGCAGCCTGGCTCTGTGCTGGTACCAGCTGCATGGCTGCAAACAAGGCTGATCCAGGCCCTGCGCTGCTGTGGTGTGGACAAGACAGACATGGGCAAGGAATTACAGCACAGTGAGAGCCATGCTGTGGATGCTAGGCCTGTGTAACACACCTCGCTTTCATTTAAAATAATAATCAAAATAAGGGAAGTACTACATGCACTAAATATAAAACACTAGGGGCTGGAGAGAGCAATAGGGGAATGCTGAGTCCAAGAGATCCACAATTCAAAAGATACTAAAGGGACTCAGTGGAACGTCTTCTCCTTCTCACTCCCCACGTTTTCCATCCACTCCAAAAGACAACCAATGTTATCAGTTTCTTGTAGGAGGAGAAACTGTGTGTTCTTCCCCACCCAGCCAGCCAACCTGTTGTCATACACAAACGATAGCATCCTGTCCACCTAACGGGATACTCAGTCCCAGGGAAGATATCATCCAGGATTTCTTGGGGAGTCTATTGGTAGGAGAACCATGACATCTTGAACACATCCCAGTAACACTTGCATGCAGTCTTCAGGAGATCTCATCTGTTTGATAGTATATTGTGCTCAGTGCTTTATTTAAGTCTTGGTCCCTTTCTTTAGAACATGTACTGTTTTCCCCTTAAGATTATTCCTTACCTTTGCTTTTTTTTCAAGAATATGGGTTATTTAAAGCAGTGTTCTTGAACTGTGGTTTAAACTTTCTTTAACCTTTTGCTTGTCAGTGTCACTGAGGAGGTTATTAAAAATGAGATTCCTAGAGCAAAGACTAAGCTCAGCTCTTTTCTCTATGCCTGTGGGCGCACATACACATGCTCCTGTTAAATGCTGTGATGGGGCAAATTTATCAGATCATTAAAAATGGGTTTTTTAGATGGTCTTAAGGGTAACACATGGTGCTTTCTGACTTCAATCAGTCTCATTGATGGGTAGAATTCTTTAGAAATAGTATGAGTACATTATTTCTTGTGTATGTGTACATTCGTGTGTGTGTGTGTTCGTTTTTAAGGACTGACAATACTAAAGAAGCTAAAAAATCGAAGCTGACATTGTATAGTTCAAGTCTATTGCCTACCCTTTTTCAGTCCAGTAATCTACATTATGAGTTAGATTTTCTTGTGCCCTTGAAAAAGAAAAGGGTTTTTTTCCTATATTTGCTTATAACAAAGACAGTCACAAATTTCCAATTTATCTTGTCAGGAAATAGCACCTTCCTTCCCCCCCTCCCCCCGAGGTGACCTAAAGATTGTCCTTCTGTGTTGTGTGACAGGCAAGGTTAGGTTTCTGCTCACATGACCCTTTTGCTTTTGGTTATCACGTGACTGCCTTGGTATAGCTGGTTAATTTATTTATTTTTTTCCAGATGTACGTTGCTTGTGTTTGGAGTGTGGATTCTTTATATCCTCAAGTTAAATTACAGTTCCGAAGAATGCGACATGAGGAAGGTGCATTTTGTGGATCCTGACCGTATAAAGGTGACATGTTCCAGCACACTGAAGCTGTCAAAGCGTCTGAAATGTGTTACAAAAAAATGCTAATGAAAGTTTGAAAGGAAGGGGAAAACACTTAATCTCAGCACTGTAAAACCAGAAGCAACCAACCAACCCATTTACCCCACTTACTTGCATCTGTGGAGTGTGACAGCATGGGAGCTGACACACCTAGGGTACCTGCCACGGGGTTCATTTGCCCGGATGCTGCCCATGTACAGGAAACAGATGAGGAAGAAATTCTTTGTAGCATCACTGGTCATTCCCAGGCTTTACTTTTACTTTTAATGATTTCATATTGTTTTTCAGGGATTTTAGGGCTGGGGGTTTAGCTGGTGGTAGAGCACATGTCTAGTATGTGGAAAGCCCTGGGTTTGATCCCTAACATTGCAAAAAAGGGAGGAGGATCTATTAATTTATTTTTCTAAGTTGATTGATAGTTGTGAATTTCACTGATGAAACTGGATTGGGTTGAATTGCCCAACAGGTTCATCCCAGGATGAAAGAAGAGTTGATTATAAATAAGGGAGCAGATTAAGAATGAAAGCTGTCATGGGCACATGTTATCATATTTAGCCATCATCCTGATGGGGAGACATCCCAGAACATTTCCACCTACAGACGATGGCCTGGAAGGTTGAACCACTTGCCCAAGTCCACATCTACTCTAGTTGACTAATTGATTTAACCTAACTTAGCATTGCTGCATGTCAGGAACTGCGCTGTGAGCGCATTAGTGGTCATGATAACCCTGGGGGTGAAGGTATGTGATCTTCTCCATCTCTCAGCTGAGGCAACTGAGGGGCTGCAAGTGAAGTAACCCGCCCATGTTGCCTCAGCCAGTGAGTGTGGGGCCGGGTCAGAGTCAGGTCAGTGGTGTGGTTTCACAGCCCGAGTTCCTCTCTGCTCTGTGCTGCTCTGCTGGAGAAGAGAGGGAGTGTCCTCAGAGAAGCCACAAGTTATAGACAGTCTGGTACAGACAGGAGAGTTGTTACCTAAATTCAGATCTAGTTGAAACTGTGTGCAGGTTACTCAGTTGTTTTGAGTCGTTTTCTGGACATCTTGTATGTGACAAGGTGTAACAAAATCTATGTTAACAGGGTCTTCATGAAAATTGAATAAGATAATACAAAGCTCACTTCCTCCTTCTGATTTTTATTCATGTTTCTACTTTAGTCTAAATATCCTTTGAAGGGGTTCAGATAGGTATAAACAAGTCAGGGAAGGACCAGGCGTGGTGGTGCGTGCCTATGTCAGCACTCGGAAGACAACTCAAGAGGATTGTGAGTTTGAAGCCTGCCTCAAGTAGCAAAACCCTGCCTCAAAAAAAGAAGAAAGTCAGGAAAAAATATCAGTGAAAAGCTTAGTTAATAAGTGCAGAGCATGGCCTCCACAGAACTGTCGAGTCTCGGGGGTCTTGTTTGTTCCCTGCTGTATATCTGTCCTCAAGTGTTCGCTGCCTCATTTCATTTCCTTGGCATTAATACATCTGCTCTGGTGGAGCCAGATGTGTCCAGTGTCCTTTCCTTGGGCTTCCCTCTTCTTCCAGTCTGTCTGACCTTGCAGGCATCTTCCAAATCCCATTCAATTCCAAGACCCTTCACAGCTAGCTCTCTTGAATCAGGTTGTTAGATATCTTGTCTCTGTTTTCTGTCTCCTGAGAAAAGCCTCAAATAATGGCATTTGGTACTAAGTACTTACTGCTGTGTGGTGAATTCTTATTTGTTTCTCTGCTTCTCCACTTTCTCTGTCCATGTTTATTTTCCTGTCCACTGACCATCTGACCAACTGCAAAATAATGACTCTAGAGGCATTCATGGAGGAGAAGTGAGCTGTTCTGCACAAGATCAAGCACATCATTTCACCAGCAGAGGCTGAAGAAGGTGTTTTCATACTGCCTTAGAGTTTTTCCCTAAGCTACGTTAGTATGCCGGGGATGCTCTGCTTGTCCCTGCAGAGGTCAAACAGTGTTCTGATTATTGTGGCCCTTACTCTGTAAGGTTCTTCCAAGGAATCCTAGTGATTTCTGAAAAAGACCAGAGAAAAGACTCAAGACCACATCCCTGAAGCACCATTGAAGGGATAGGAACATGTATATGACCTAAAAGAGAAACCTAATCCAGGGCACATGGTGGCTAATGTCAACAAACTGAGAACACCCAGCACGTGGAAGGTTAAGACCTGCCTAGGTGACCTTAGTGGAAGAAATGTATATTGGGACAGCAGCCAAGCACAGAAAGAGGGGCTTGATAGTGTACACTTTGCATCTTCTCTGTCACTCTCCAGACTCCTTCTGGTGTAACAATATATGTGAGCATTTGTCACTTCATCTAAACAGAATTTATTTGAAAGCAGGGGCTGTGTTTATAAGAACATAAGTTTCTGAGCCAGACATGGTGGCACACACCAGTAACCATAGCTGCTCTGGAGGCAGAAGTAGGAGAATCGTGGTCTGAGACCTGCAAAAGTCTGAGATGCTACCTGAAAAATAAGCTAAATCAAAGGGGCTGAGGGTATGGTTCGTGTGGTAGAGGGCTTGCCTAGTAAGCACCAGGCCCTGGTTCAAGTCCCCAATACTACCAAAAAAATAATGTTGTGTGTATGTGTGTGTGTGTATTTCTTAGGATTCCAAGCAAAGAATTAGTGCCGAGGATGTCCCATATGAGCCCTCTGCTTCCACCCATTGCCCTCTGCATAAGATACGCCCCACAGTGGCCATTGTGGTATTTCTAAAAGCTGAGCCTTATCTGTTGCTTCCCTTCTTAAGATGCTTTGCTTTCTCTTGGTTACCCTTGGAACACCTGTAAGACTCTTCATGACTTGGTCCCTATCCATTTCTCCAGCTTCCTTTTGCCACCCATCATGCCATTACTGTCTGGGTCAAGTGTACTGAACCCCTTGCAGGACTTTGGTTGAGCTTCTCTCTTGCTCTCACTGTCTCTCTAGCATCTTTATTGAGATGTAATTCACACAACATAAATTCACTATTTAAAGCATATGATGCTATGGTTGTAATGTATTTACAGAGCTGTGCAACCATTACCCCAGTCTAAGTTTAGAACATTTTCATCATCCCAAAAGGAAGCTCTATAGCCATTAGCAGTCACTCCCATCCACCCCTTTCCACATCCTAGGTAACCACTAATCTACCTGCTGTCTCTACCTGCCTGTCCTGGACATTTTATGTAAATGTAGTTGTTCAGTCCATGGTCTTTTGTCACTAGCCTCTTTCCCTTAGTATAATGTTTTCATTATATATGTTTTACCCATGTAGCATGTATCAGTAATGAAGTAATAAAGCATTACTTGTCATTTCTGGATAATATTCCATCATGTAGATATGCTACATTTTAGCTATCCACTCATCAGTTGATGGACATTGGAGCTGTTTCCACTCAGCATAATGGTACTCTGAACATGTGTACCTACGTGTTTGTTTGAGTACTTGTCAGCAAACTGTCTTCAGTTCTTTCAGGTATATGCCTGAGAGTAGGATTGCTGGGTCACAAGGAAACTCCATCTTTAACTTTCTGAGGATCTGCCAAACCATTTTCCAAAATGGTTTCGTCCCTTTACATTCCTGTGAGCAATGTGCTAGGAGCCCCAGTTCCCACATCCTTGTCAGCACTCGTATTGTGTCATAGCATCCTAGCAAGCGTGAATAGCATTTCATTATAATTTTGCTTGCATTTCCTGGGTGGCTAATGACGTCGAACACCTTTCCTATCCTATGCTCGTTGACTGTTTAGCATGTCCACAGGGATGATTATTTAAATCCTTTGCCCATTTTTTATCTGCGTTATGTGTCTTCCTGTATTGAGTTGCAAGAGTTCTTTTTGTATTCTGGGTACCAGTCCTCTGTGTTAAGTACATGGTTTGCAAATATTTTTACTCATTCTGTGGGTCGTCTTTTAATTTCCTTACCATTAAGGTCTATAATTTTGATGGAGCCCAACTTGTATTTTTCCTTGCCCCTGAAGTGTTACATCTAAGAAACCATTGCTTAATCCTCTGATTTTCTTCTATGCATTTTATAGTTTTAGCTCTTACATATATGTCTTGTGCCAAGTCCCAGTTACTTGGGAGGCAGAGATAGGTTCAAGTTTCAAAGCCAGACTTGGCAAAAAGTTTATAGAGACCCCATCTCAACCAATAGCTGGGCATGGTGGCAATACCTGTCATCCCAGCTACATGAGAAGCGTAAATAGAAGGATCGTGGTCCAAGCTGGCCCATGCGAAAACTCAAGACCCTATCCCAAAAATAAAGCAAAAAGGAGCTGGGCTTGGCTCAAATGGTAAGCAGAAGGCTCTGAATTCAACCCCCAGCACCACAAAAAAAAAAAGTTAATTTTTGCATGTGGCATGAGGCAGTGTGTAGCGTCATTCCTTCACACGTGGTTCTCTGGTTTTCCATTTGTTAAACAGGCTTGCCCTTGGCTTGCTTGCTGCTTTCTTTCTTTCTTTCTTTCTTCTCTGCCTGGAGCCTGTCCTTCCTTTGCCTCAGTTACTCGTCTTTTAAATCAAATCTCAGCTCAGGGATTACTCCCTTGATAATGTCCCTCTCTGTGTTCTAGAAACCTCTTCAAACCTTAATCCTAACATTTATCACACAAAGTCTTTTAACTATTTGTCTTCCAGGCACAATCCTGGGAGAGAGGGGCTGTGTGCTAACATTTTGTATTGGTCAATCTGCACTCCTGTCTGTCAAACTCCAGAGAAAAGGAGAAATGTTTACTTCAACCACAGTGTGATCGCTTATCTTTGAACCACAGATTGTATAGAAAATCCACAATTAACAGCCAATTCTTTGAGTATGTTCCATTATGCACTTTAGATTTATTATCCTTTTAAGGAATATCATGGATACATCTGTTCAACTCTAAACATTCATTAGGGAAAAGCTTCCCCTTCCTTTTCTCCCTGAATGATAGAATATAAGTCCTTTCATTTAGACAGAAGGGGCCAGTTTAAGACCTAGGTTCACA